TTCTTATGATGTTATATAAATGCAAATTATTGTTGCTGTTGTTGACTAATTTAATACTTACTGAACATTGTGACTTTTCAGAAGGGAGTAGGTAATCATTAAAATGATGGAGTTTTATGGCTGAAATGTCTGCTGTTTCTCCAATTGTTGGCAACTTTCCACTGGAGTTGCCATAGGAGATTGGGAGAAGCAGCATAACATTTCTTTTACGATTTGTTTGCAGACTCTATTTTAAAGAAGACAATTGCTCTTAGTGTATTGACAAGCACACCTAATAAATGACTGCGCTGTAAGCGTTGTGGGAGATCATGAATTGCGGACTGAGCTCAGTCAGATCGTTCAATAAACTGCCTGAAATACCAGAATGGACTGCTGTACTTGTTTATTTTGTTCTTACAGCATGTTGGATTTTGTGTAAAGTTAACATGTTCTGTACACAAAATCAACTGAACTAAATTGGCTATGAACATTTTCTTGCTAGAAGAGAATACCTGCGAAAGTTATCCTACCCCAAACAAATTGTGTCTGCTGTTTTGCACTCCAATTACTTGTCAATGGGAGCATGCATAAGGAATATGTGACACATATTTGTGATGTATGCTTCCATTTCATCAATGAGAAGGTGACAGCTGATATTGAATGTTTATGCTAGTCACTTTGATTTAGTTTTTATTTGGGAGCTCTATTTACAGTGTTGTGGTTTTGGTGTCTTTGATTGTCTTGCAGTATTTGCATGAGGATTAATTTTATATTTGCTGCAATTTTATGTACCTGCTGTAAAAGTTGTGATTATCTTTTTGTTTAAAGTGATGACTTTGTGTTGGTAGGCAAGGATACAAAGAATGCAGTACCTACTTGTTCACCCTTTCAGCACCACGGGGACATTTCTGCACGGCATCTCTTTCATTGACCTGCAGCAATTATTTTCTGTATATTACAATGAATAGGTATTTTATATAATGTAAAATTACAAAGGCACGTTGAGACATTAAATCAGCTTGCTCATAACACGTCATTAAAAAAAAATGAGGAGCTTTGGGCGAACTGATTTTCTGTGTCAAGTTAACGCTCAGTTTAGCACATTTAGTTGGAGTAATTAATGGACTTCACAGATTCAGCTGAAGCTTGTTAAAACAGGATCAATTGTGAATTGCCCGAGTGCAACAAGTGTAAGGTTAAAGCTTCTAATGCAGCATTTCCTGCTTACACTGATGGCTGTAGAACTTTCTGGAAGTGCATGTGCAATGACTCATTTACTGAAAGATAAAGAAATATTTCCAAATCCTATTTCAAATTTCATTATTGATAAGAAAAAATATTGCTGATGGGAAATCAAATAATCCTCTGCTGGTTCAGCGCTGGTTGAACAGTTCTTCTGTCATTGCAGAATTGATAGAGACAGATTCCTCGTTGCCTTCTTAGTTCTTCTTAGCTTTTGTCTTGTTATGACTACAGATCAAAATCCTGAAGGACGTTTTAACTTGTAATTCCAAATGTGTTTTTTTAAGAGAGTGCTGTTGGAGCCAAAAATGGCTCCAGATTGTAAGTGTCTGTCTGAAGAGGCAAAAGGAGACAGAGACCCATGGAATGTCTCACAGGTTGTGAAGGAAACTTCAGACAACAGCTCTTCAAAGTCAGGGACAGGGGCAAGAGGCAAGTCAAAACTGACTGGGCTGTGATCTCTTGGGACTACAAAGGTAACGAGGGACTGATCATCCCAGTTCAACAAGTCAAAGCCCCTGTGGATTATTTCCCAAACTGCAAACACAATTTGTGTTTGTTTTTCCCCTTTGAAGAACACTCATTTGAAAGAGGTTAAAAAGTCAATTTCAACTCTTTTAGAGTGTGCTAGTGGAACTAAACATTCTCATGTGCACCATCCTGGAATTGAGAGTGAACATGCAGTGAAGATTACAGTTGAAGAACTATCCCCTAGTAACCCCTGTGTTCTAGGTGGATATATCTAGAGTGCTGGAGGTTAGCTAACTAGCAGCCAGACTGAAGCAAACAGGTAACAAAGGACTGTCTTTCACCCTGAATTCTGGAATTCAAATAAGGTTGAAAGGAATCAGAACTGCAGAATCTCAACCAAACTGCAAAACTAAGGATTGTGTAACCTTGTTAACTTTTGACATCAAAGCTATCCATAATCTCCACTGCAATCGGCCACAATGTTCAAGTACCTGTTCTTCACGAATAATTCCAAAACTCAATCCATATTTTTTGTATAAAGAGTGTGTGTGTGTGTGTGTGTGTGTGAGAGAGAGAGAGGGGCTGGGGCGGGTGCGGTGCGGTACGTTACTATTTTTCTCATGTGAAGTAAACTCACTCTAGTTCTCACATTTAGTAATTATCTGGGAGAAAGGTGTCCACAAAGGAAAGGATCTGTTTTAAAATGAACTTTGCTGAGCTGAGACAAAACAAACAGGTGAATGAATAAAGACATGAGCCAGTTCATCTCTCCTCACCAAAGAGTTTAACGATTTGGGATATCTTGTCTGGAATAAAAACAAATTGGGGGTTGGATCCAAAGCTTAACAGTCTTGGAACCTGTTTACCATGGGTTCATCACATAGACTTAATTTTAAAAAAACTTAGAAACTAGGAATTAGAATTAGATGTTTAAGCAGTATGCTCACACATTTTGCTCAAATCATGCATTCGCCATATTGGAAGCGCCTGGGTTACATGACAAAATAATTTAAACAAATCAATTAAAATATAGAAACTTGGGTCTTATGCTTGAAGGCAGCCCTTTCTGATATTAACCTAGGCTAGCACTTGACTCACTACATGGTTAGCCAATACAGAATCTTGTGGTGCTAAGGACCATAGAGCAATGCTTATTTAAAAGTCTTCTCCCCTACTTACTGTTATTTATTGATTTGTTTTTGAGGTTGATGGTTTACGTCTAGTGTTCAGAAGATTCTATTGGTGTTGAATGTTTTGGGGGTGGAGGATGAGAAGGGGTTAGCTAGTAAGAAGGACACGCACTTGAACAGCAGGAATGAGAGACAAGAGGAGAGCACTGTGGAAGAGGCCATGTCTGCAGTGGGTCTTTAAAGAGCATTTCACCAACTTAACGTTCTCCAAGGAGTATTGCCTTATGCACCTCTGTTTTACAAAGCAAGCTGAACTCCTTGAATAGTCAAGAAATCAAGAAATGTTGCTAAGATTTTAAAAAGGTGTTTGTAATTAGTTTTATTTCCATATCATACAAACATGTGTTGGAAGTATTTGGGAGTGATGGAAATAAAAACTATCAGGCATTGTGTCATTGATTTTTACTTTGAGTCTCTGTTTTCTAATGTGCACATATTTTCCATCATCATGAAATGGATCATTCTCGAGATTCCACCCACCGTGGCCCCATCAAATCCTCACAGTGACAATTCCATATTGATTGGATAGAAAGGGAAAAGACTTTGTACTTTGTTCTACATGTGACTCTAGACCCATAGCCATGTGGTTGACTCTTAACTGCCCTCTGTGCAATTAAGGATGGCAATTAAAAACTGGCCTGGCCAACAGTGCCCACATCCTGTAAATGAAAAAAACTCTTAGTGCCGTTCACAATCTCAAGATATTCCAAAGTATTTTACAGCTAATTATACAATTTTGAAGGGTAGTCACTGTCGCAAAAAGAAAAATTCCTGTAAAACTGTAATTTTGAAATTTGAGACTAGGAACAGTATTCAAATTCTAGGCCTGAATCTGCTGTCAAAACTGCTGCAGTTTTGTGACGTCTGTGCCGTGGAATCCATATTAGTTGCACTGCATGTACTACAGAAATGAATCCACACATTGTTTTGAAAGTCACATGCTTCATTTCTGATTGTGGGTGGTTTAAAGAAACCTGATTGATTGATTGATTTTATTGTCACGTGTACCGAAATACAGTGAAATACTCAGAGAGTAGTAAGGGCGTGGAATGCCCTGCCTGCAAAAATAGTAGACTCGCCAACTTTAAGGGCATTTAAATGGTCATTGGATAAACATATGGATGATAATGGAATAGTTTAGGTTTGATGGGCTTCAGATTGGTTTCACAGGTCGGCGCAACATCGAGGGCCGAAGGGCCTGTACTGCGCTGTAATGTTCTATGTTCTATGTTCTATGTTCTAAAAGCTTTGTTTACGAGCGTTACAGGCAGTTCACAGCAAGCAAAGGGTGTACAGATCAAAAAGAGTTAAAGGCATACAGGGTACATTGCAGGTACCATTATTTGAGGCTAGTGTCCATTCAGCTTAGGTAAGGCAGATACCAGCATGTGGGGAACAACCTCTAAGTATTGTACCTGCACATTCTTCACTTCTGTACGGTGGTTCTCCAAAGCAAGGAGGATACTTGCCGCATAGTTCAGCCTGTGTGTAGAGTCCTTTGACACAGGGAAGCTGTTGTGCTGCAGCGAATCCTGCAAGTTAACCAACTGGACAAAATGAATGTACGCATAGCTAGAGGCAGTAGTTTGTACATCCATTCTGGTACCGGTGACTAAGCAACCTAGGGAAAAAACCAACACACTTCAAAAGGAAGCTTTCTGAAGCTCCAAAATCATCAGGGATTCCTCATCTACCTCAAAATTCTAGTGCCACAGCTACGGCTGCCACAAGTTTGGTAAATGTAGCATTAAACACAAATAAACTTGAACATTTAGGAACTAATGAGGTTTGAATGTGATTGCTGAATGTGCCTTAATAAAACCAAATTAAGCCATCTATAATTATGAAGACATTGCTGCTGCACCAGTATATTCCTCTAGCTGGTGAAAATCATCAAACATGTCATAAGAAAAAAGATAGCAGTGATTTTAAAAGCGTTTTGGTAGAAAAAAAATGGCATGCAATGCTTTGCCGCATTAAAGACAGGACATAAACTGATGTTGCTTCTGGTGTAGCAATTACACTGGGTTCTAACCAATGTAGATAATCATGTAGAATTTATTAAATGCTCAATATATACTTAAAACCTCTTCCTGTCATTCTGTTTCTGTTCAACAGGCATCTTTGCCAATCTGACTTGCAGAGCCTTTTTTGGTTATGGTGGAGAGGTCAGCCCTATAATTTATTGGATGAAGGGAGAGAAGTTTATTGAAGACCTTGATGATAACCATGCCAGAGAAAGTGACATAAGGTAATTTGAACTTTCATCATGTCTTCTGTAACTAAATGTTAACACATTGGGTGATATTGAGTCCTCATAGTCCAATCAAATATCAAATTATGGCATTAGTGTGGGGTTATTGATAAAGTTGGTATTTGTTACCCATCCAAAGTTAGCCTGTTTAAGTCAGCCACTATGAGACTCAGGTCTTGTATGGATCAGACAGGAAAGGGCAACAGGATTCCTTCCCTCAAGGGTACTTGTGAACTAGTTGGGTTTCTTGTGATAATCCAGCCATTCATGTTATTTTTGATGCCTCTAGCTTTTTTTTATCATTTGGAGAACATTTTGCTGCAGAATTAAAATTTTCAATCTGATATTGTGAGATTTGAGCTCCCAACTCTTGTGCTATTAGTCCAGACCGATGAATCACTGGTCCAACAACATAGCCACTGTGGCACCACATCCAAGTACTATTGCAAGGTTTGAATGCATGAAACAGTCACTACCTTATAAAAGAGACCAATGAGTTCCATAAAATGAAGAATAAGCTATCATTTTATGACCTGGAGTTATACCTTTAGTGCTCTGTGGATGAAAATGTGAACATGTTATAAGCATCGTTCTTTTCGTATCATGAATGTAACTACAAGTTATGGCTGATTAAATTTTGGCAAAAAAAGTTGCACAGATATATCCCAATCTTTTTTCTTTAATTATTCAGCATGAAAATGGACTTCAGTTTTGAAAATAAGCGCTGTAAATTCAATGAGAATTATCATTGTTTTTCATTTCTCTAATCTGATCTTTTGTACACACAGTGTAAGATGAGTAACTAATTATTTGAGACTCTTTGTTCCCTGAAAAAGAGCCTTTTCATTCAAATTTTTATCTATCAGAACAGTTCTTCCTTGAAGAGCTGTTTATTATTTCACCACATGAATAGCCTTAAATCTTAGGGGAAATTGAACCTCTGTATGAGATTCAAGTCGGTAGGGCAAGCAGCAAAGGGAACTAGCATCACCTGCATGAACCAAGGGCAGTTTGTAGTCCTAGTCCTCAACTTTGTGCTTCCAATCACCTTTCCACCTAAATTGGTTGAGAATTGTCACCTGGATGCCAGGTGGGAGCAAGGTTTGGGCAGCAGTAGCTGACACAAAAGGAGGGCTGCCAGTTAAGTCATAGGGAAGATACTTTGGGACGGTTTCATGGGAACAGGTCAAGGGTGACAAAAGGGAGGCTCCACAATCAAAGTGAAAACTTTGAGCTTAAATGGCCTTTTCTAGTTCTGGTCTTCTCACTATTTTTATTTAGCAGGAAAGTCATGCCAGTTGTCCCACTTAGGCAGGTTAAAATTGCAACTGGGGACAAATGATGGTATTAGGCTAGGATTTATGAATTTACCATCAGGTGTATGCCTCTTCTACCTTCTCAGAAAAGCATCTTCAGTTCAGGATTAGTGGGAAGCTGGTTAGGTGATCCAATAAATGCACATCATGTGATTGATGTCATTCCATTTTTTATAAAACACAGAAGGATTGTCCACTACTCATGACAATTGACATGCCTTTTAAGTGAATCTATTACAGGTCTTTCCTTTGTTCACTAAACCTCCAATCATCAGACATTGTACAAATTTGATAGCATGTACTGCAATTTGAAACTGCATCTTTGCAATTGTGACATAAGAGGTTGACCATGAACACAAGACCATTGGACTCGACAATGACATCTCAAAGAAAAAACAGAAATTGCTGGAGAAACTCAACGGGTCTGGCAGCATCTGTGGTATGGAGAAGACACAGAGTTAACTTTTCAAGTTCTGAAGAAGGGTCACTGGACTCAAAACATCAATTCTGCTTTTGCTGCACAGATGTTGCCAGACCTGCTCAGTTTATCCAGCAATTTCTGTTTTGTTTCATATTTCCAGCACCCACAGGGGTGTAGAGGAGATTCACTAGGTTGTTTCCAGAATTGAGAGAGTTGGATTATTGCGAGAGATTGAGTAGACTGGGACTAGACTCATTAGAATTTAGAAGAATGAGGGGGGTCTTGTAGTAACATATATAATTATGAACGGAATAGATAAGATAGAAGCAGGAAGGTTGTTTCCACTGGTGGGTGAAAGTAGAACAAGAGGGTATTGCCTCAAAATAAGGGGGAGCAGATATAGGACTGAGTTGAGAATGAACTTCTTCACCCAAAGAGTTGTGAATCTGTGGAATTCCCTGCCCCGTGAAGCAGTTGAGGCTATCATGTTGAATGTTTTTAAGGCAAAGATAGATAGATTTTTGAACAATAAAGTAATTAAGGCTTATGGTGGGTAAGTCAAGTTGAGTCCATGAAAAGATCAGCCATGAACTTATTGAATGGCAGTGCAGTCTTGACAGGCCAGATGGCCTACTCCTGCTCCTATTTCTTATCTTCTTTGTTTTATTTTTGACAAAAACTGCTGTGGGATCATTCATTGGCTGAATCAATATGATGCAAATTGATGCAGTCGATTTTAAGAACCGTCACATTTGATGCTTTTGCTAGAGAATGTTTGGTAAAAACAACAAATCAATTTCTTGAAGATCTGCAAGTGCACAAATACATGAGAAACATTGTTCCTGCAAACAGTAAATTTTCACACATAAACTCAGCAGCATTAATGAGACCCACAATAGTTAATCTTTTATGCATGAGTTTATGCCAGAAACTGTTTCAATGCTTAGATGTACAATTTCCATGTGCATAACATGTGGCAAAGTGAACCGCATATGCCATATAAATGCACTTGAAATGCTGCAAAAATTGTACGAGGATTTGGTCTCGGCTATAGGTTTAATTGGTTATTTTCTTTACCTTACCCAGAATTCTCAGGGAACACCTCGGGGAGAAAGAAGTTTCCATTTCTCTGCTAATTGACTCTGTGCAGGATGCAGACTTGGGAAACTATTCTTGCTATGTTGAAAATGGGAATGGACGTAGACAAGCAAGCATTCTTCTTCAGAAGAGAGGTAAACACTTCTTTCAGCCCTGTTACTTTTATTTTTGATTCAGGGAGCTTTTTAGAACAATTGTCAAGCAAGAAAACCAAGAAAATAAATTTCAGTGCTGTTACAGATTCATGTAAATATAATAAACCAAGTTACTGAATTCAGGTCATGTCTGTCCTGCTAGTGGGGATTTATAGCCCTAAGTTACATAAATAGGAAGGCTAGTAAAGCAGTCTTCATAAATTGAAGGATTAGAGAACTAAGAAGACTAGGGATTGAAATTACTAAAACATAGGGCAGAGAGGTTTTTTTTCCAACAAAACCATTTGACCTTGTGCTCTCCCTCTTAGTCTCATAACTGCTTCAATTTCCAGGTCTATGGATACAGGCATTCAGTACAGGTACCTTAACTTCACTTTCTCTAATCCCCCTGTTCCATAATGATTTTGTTTTTAATTAAACAGTTGAGCTTAGTATGAACTGTAAGAAACTAAGTCTGCTTGTGCTTTGATTAAGAAGAGTGGCTGTGGAAACTATGTGTATTGTGGTTGTAATCATCCTAAATTCTCAAGCTTCTGAATAGGTCCCAGCAGATTGGAAAGCTGAAAATGTAACTCTCTTACCCAAGAAAGGAGGGAGAGAGCAGGAAACTAGGGGTCAGTTGGCCTAACATCTGTTATTGGGAAAATGCTCCAATCCATTATTAATTGGGTATTAGCAGAACATTTAGGAAATCATGATACAATAATGCAGTGCTGACATTGTTTTATGAAAGAGAAATCATGCTTGACAAATTTATTTGAGTTCTCTGGTTGTTATTGGACTTTAGAGAACTAAGGGGTGATCTTATTGACAAACATAAAATTTTGCAGGTGCTTGACAACATCTGCAAGGAGACTACGAAGATGCCTGGAATTCTGGGCACAACTTTTAAAAATGGTCTCCCCCCATTTAAGATGATAAGGAGGCATTTCTTCCCTCGCAGGGTCATTAATCATTGAAATTATTCTCCACAGAAAACTAGGGGTTCTGCTCATCAAATAAATTCAAGGCTGAGATCAACAGATTTTTGATCTTCAAGAATTAGTGCAGAAGTCTTCTGTGGCTATCCCCATCTCAAACAAGGATGCTGTTTTGGATACTGCAGGGAGTTAAAGCCTCTCAGGGATATGGCACTGAGAGCCAGTTTTCTGGTATCCTGACTGACACTACTGTAAAGAAGGGTATATCAGGTTCCAAGCGATATCTCGCCTGAGGCACACACAGATGTTCTGCAGCTGTCAGCAAGACATCAGCATGGTGTGTTGTCTCCTGGTAGTAGAGTCAAGGATGTCTCTGAGAGGGTGCAGAATATTCTGAAAGGGGAGAGTGACCAGCAGAAGGTTGTTGTACACATTGGTACCAACAGCATAAGTGAAGAAAGAGATAAGGTTCTGCAGAGAAAATATAGGAAATTTGACAGGAGGTTAAAAAATAGGTTATCGAGGGTACTAATATCTCAATTACTCCAGATGTCATGTGCTAGTGAGAGTAGAAGTAAAAGGATAGGGCAAATTAACGTGTGGCTAAGCAGCTGGTGTAAGGAGCAAGAATTCACATTTTTGGATCATTGAGCTCTCTTCTGGGCTAGAAATGATCTGTCTAAGAAGGACAGGTTGCACCTGAATTGGAAGGAGACAAATATCGTGGTGGAAAGATTTGCTTCTCAGGAGGCTTTAACCTAGTAAAGGTGGGTTGCGACCCAAAGAGACAGTGAGAAAAGAGATAAGTCTGGGGCTGGTACATTAGATAAGGGAAGCAAGTTAAATAGTCAAGGCAGGCACGAGCAAGGCAGAGAATGAGATAAGACTGATAAATTAAACTACATTCATTTCAATGCAAGAGGCCTGACAGGTAAGTCAGAGGAACTTAGGACATAGGATTAGGATATCATAGCTATTACAGAAACATGGCTCAGTGATGGAAAGTTCTGGCAGCTTAATAGAACAGGGTATAGATGCTATAGGAAGTATAGAGAGGGTGGGGGAGCAAAAGAAGAGGGGAGTGGTGTTTTTGCTGAGGGATAATATTACGGTTATACTTAGGAAGGACATTCCTGGGAGAACATCCAGTGAAGTTATGTGGGTGGAAATGAGAAATAAAAAAAGGGATAATCACCTTATTGGGATTGTACAATAGACCCTCCAATAGTCAGTGGGAAATTGAGAAGCAAATAGAGTATATAGTACAGAGGCAGACCCTTCAATCCAACTCGTCTGCGCTGACTAGACATCCCAACCTGACCTAGACCCATTTGCCAACATTTAGCCCATATCCCTCTAAATCTTACCTATTCGTATCCATCATTTCCCCTGGCAGCTTTTTCCGTACATGAAATGTTACCCCTCAGGTCATTTTTAAATCTTTCCCCTCTCACCTTAAGCCTGTGTCCTCTGGTTTTGGACTCCCCTATCCTGGGGAGCCCTATCCATGTTCTTCATGATTTTATAAACCTCTGTAGGGTCACCCCTCAGCCTCCATCACTGTACGGAGATCTCAGATATGTGTAAGATCAAAACGTCAAGGATTTTAACTTTCCAAAAATAGACTGGGACTGCCATAGTGTTAAGGGTTTGAATGGAGAGAAATTTGTTAGGTGTATGCAAGAAAACTTTCTTATTCAGTGTGTGGATATACCTCCTCAAGAAGGAGCAAGACTTGACCTTCACTTGGGAAAGAAGGCAGGGCAAGTGACTGAGGTGCCAGTGAGGGAGCACTTTGGGGCAAGTGATCATAATTCTATTAGTTTTAAAATAGTGATAGAAACGGATAGACCGAATCTAAAAGGTAACGTTCTAAATTGGAGTAAGGCCAATTTGATGGTATTAGGCAAGTACTTTCAATAATAGTTTTGGGGGAGGCAATTTACAAGGAAAGAGAAGGTTGGAAAGTAGGAGACCTTCAAAAATGAGATAACAAGAGTTCAGAGGCAATATGTTCCTGTTAGTGTGAAGGGCAATGTTCATAGGTTTTGGGAATGCTGGATGAACTGAAAAATTGAGGTTCTGGTCAAGAAAAAGCAGGAGGCGTATGTCAGTTCTAGACAGCTGGGATCAAGTGAATCCCTAAAGGGGTATAAGGGCAGTAGGAGTATGCTTAAGAGGGAAATAAGGAGGGCAAAAAAGAGACATGAGATAGCTTTGGCAAATAGGGTTAAGGAGAATCCAAAGAGATTCTACAAATTCATTAAGAGCATAAGAATAACTAGGGAGAAAATAGGGCTTTTAAACATCAATGAGGCTGCCTATGTGTGGAACCACTGGGGATGGGTCGGAGACTAAACAAATATTTTGTGTCAGTATTTACTGTGGAAAAGGACATGGAAGCTAGGGAACTTGAGGGAATAAATAATGATGTCTTGAAAAGTATCCATATTACAGAAGAGGAAGTGCTGGCAGTCTTAAAACGCATGAAGGTCGATAACTGCCCAGGACCTGGCCAGATGGGTCCTAGATTTTTGTGGGAAGCACAGAAAGACTTGCTGGGCCCCTTGCTGAGATATTTGTATCATCAAAAGCTACGGATGGTGTGCCAGAAGGCTAGAGATTGGCTAACATAGTGCCATTACTTAAGAAAGGATGAAGGAAAAGCCTGCAAACTATAGACTGTAAGCCTGACGTCATTGGTGGGTAAGTTGTCAGAGCGGATTCAGTGGGATAGTATTTACATGCATTGGGAAAGGCAGGGGCTGATTAGGGATAGTCACCATGACTTTATGCTTGGAAAACGTATCTCACTGACTGGTTTGAGTTTTTTGAACAGGTGAGAAACAAAATTGATGAAAGCAGAGTGGTAAACATTGTCTATATGGGCTTCAGCAAGGCGTTTGCCAAGATTCTGCATGGTAGACTGGTTAGCAAGGTTAGATCATGTGGAATCCAGGAGGAGCTAGCTAATTGCATACAAAATTGGCTTAAAGTAAGACACAGAGGGTGTCTCGGACTGGAGGTTTGTAATTAGCAGTATGCCACAAGGATTGGTGCTGCATCCATTGCTTTTCTTCATTTATGCAAATTGTTTAGATATGAATATAGGAGGTATGGTTAGTAAGCTTGTAGATGACACAAAAATTGGTAGAGTAGTGAATAGTGGACCAGTAGGCTGAGGAGCAGCAGATGGAGTTTAATTTAGATAATTGTGAGATGTCACATTTTGGTAAGGCAAAACAGGGTAGGACTTATACAGTTAATGTAAGGGCCCTGGGGAATGTTGCCAAACAAAGAGACCAAGGGGTGCAGGTGCATAGTTCCATGAAAGTGAAGTTCCAGGTAGACAAGGTGGTAAAGAAAGTGTTTGGTATGCTTGCCCTAATTGGTCAGTGCATTGAGTACCGGAGTTGGGAGGTCATATTGCGGCTGTTCATGACATTGGTTTGGCCATTTTCAGAATACTGTGTTCAATTCTGGTCTCCCTGCTACAGGAAAGAAGTTGTTAAATGTGAGAGGGTGCAGAAAAGATTTACAAGAATGTTACCAGGACTGGAAGGTTTGAGTTATAGGAAGAAACTGAATAGACTGGAGCATCAGAGGCTAAAGAGTGACATTATAGACGTTTATAAAATCATGAGAGGCCTGGATAGCGTGAGTAGCCAAGGTCTTTTACCCAAGATAGGGAAGTCCAAAACTAATGGGCATAAGTTTAAGGTGAGGAGGGGAAAGATTTAAAAGGGACCTGAGGGACCAATCTTTCGTGCACAGTGTGGTACATGTATGGAATGAGCTGCTAGAGGAGTTAGGGCAGGCGGATATAATTATAACAATTAAAAGGCATCTGACTGAGTACATGAGAGGAAGGGTTTAGAGGGATATGGGCCAAAAGCTGGCAGATGGGACTAGATCAATATAGGATATCTGATTGGTGCAGATGAGTTGGACCGGAGAATGTGTTTCCGTGTAATATAACTCTATGACATTATGACTCTAACACTAGGGTTATGGAAACAGACAATAAAATGGAATTGAGACGATGATCAGATTAAGCCA